TCTCTGTACGTCTTTGTTTTCTTTTACCTAATTATGAAAATCTTTCTTAATAAACAAATTTGCATTTGCACTCGAAATCCATTAAAACATTGAGTGTTAAAGTGTGGGTTTACTATAATTATAATATTTTGTAATAAAGGATTCTTATGACAATGTAAATAAAAATAAAACTTTTTTGAAGATATTACTTGGCCATAAGTTGAGATTGAATTATGTGATAATAAAACAGGTGGACTTCCCCCTAAATTATGAGTCTCATTTTAGGACCAAAAAGGAAGGAGATGTAAGATTAATATCTGTAATTTGTTGTAGAATGTTCTTTTACAAGTTAATTGAGGATAATATGATTTCATCATGTTACAGTAAGGAAACAATGTAATAAAAGAAACTATTAAAATTAAATGTGTAAAGTTACTTAATATGTCATGATGTGTTAAAACTTTAAATAAAACTGTCTAGGATAATATAATATAAGTATATAATATAATAAAATTCAGAGTTGGGGATGTTTTTCTTAAGTGAAATATAAAAAGGGAAGAAAAAATCAGAGGGGAATTTTTTTCCATAAAAGTTCAATGCTTAGTTTCTCATATGAAGTCAGGAAAAATAATAAGCCAAATATTGTTTTTACTATTTATATTTTAACCTTGTACCATTAAATGGGACAGATGGACCCAGTATTCAAGGCGAGAAAGACAAAGTGAAAGTTCAAAACATTTGGGGCTCAGTGGTTGAGAGTGTTGGGATCTGGAACTGTACCACCTTCCTCCAGCAGAGTGCGCCGTGGGTCTTCCTGAGCTGAGCCTCCAACACACCTGTGGCCCATCTCATCATCAGAAGACCCACCACTATATAACCTGCCTTCAGACCTTGCCTCAACGCCGCAGTGTTGATCTAGTTTGGATAGCAACCTGAGCCTAGTAAACCTGAGAATCTTTGCTATCTCCAGTTGAGATAAGATTCTAACTCTTCCTTGTTTTTGCCTCACAGGAATCCTGTCTCTACCTGAGGCTCTGGATGAGCTTAACCTGCCGAGCCTGCCCTCGTGAGCCAAACCTGAAGACTCTTCTCTGGATTCCCCTGCAGCTCTTGGCTAAGAGCAGGAAACCCAAACCAAGGTCTGCCCTCAAAGTCAGAAGTAAGACGCTGAAGCCATTATTGGACTCTGCTGAACAAACAGTCTCTGGACCCAACAGTTTCCTCTCTCAAAGAGAAACCCGGACTCATTCAAGGTATTCCTCAGCAAACTCAAAGACTCATAACTCTTCAGTCCATGTGCTAACTGAACTGTCAAATCCAGTGAACCTGCCCCCAGACCCGTACCAGTTCCAGTGCAATATTCTTGTGCTTGTGTTATCAATAAACCTTGTTAAACTTTTCATCAGCCTCCGTGTGTGTGTTCTTCATATTGGGTTTACTCTGTAACCAATCATGACAGAGAGGGACAGAGACAAGACATGGTACCAGGATAGCTGCTGTATTTTAAACTGTACTCTACCTTTGAGGCAGGCTTACAGGAATTAAAACTGGCCTCCCCCACTCCGAGCCAAAACCCTGAGGACTCAGCAGAGAAGAGCCAGGACACGATCAGGAGAAAGGAGACAAACACAAACCCACAGTCAGAACATGAAACACGGACTTAACTAAAAATTTATCTCAAACAAATAAACATGACTAACACCGATAAGTACGAATAAACTAAGAAGAATGATAAGGCCCCAATAGCTGGGCTGAACCGTATATATAGCAAAGGGAGCAGGTGAACTACATGAATGATAAATAGAGAGCGGGGAGGGAACGGCAGGTGAATGAAGTGAGTGATTAGATCAGCTACCGGGGCTGGGATCATGACATCTTCAACAAAATCAAAATGTTTTCTAAATAAGACTGTTTTTTAAAGACGATATTGATTTAAAATCCATCAAAAATCCTATTAACATAGACCAGAGGCCACGGATTAGCGGACCGCGGTCCAGATCTGGACCCACCTGCTGGCTAATCCAGACCCAACCTGATTTAAAACATTTATAAATTACCACATATTGTCCGACGGCAGTGTCATCCGGCACCAGGCTACACATGATACAAATTAGTCAATGAGCTGCTGTTAGTTTGGGTTGCTGCTACTTTTAGACACCGCAGGCAAACCTGTGGCAAGCCGGGCGATGGGAAAGAAGGAGAAGATGATGAGAAAAAGAGAGCAGAGAAAGTGTGAACTGCAGGAAGAACTGCGGGGAACTGGTGAAAGAAAAGTGAAATGGTGCTCAAAGATGACCCTGCACATTTAGAGGATGTTTGGCTCAACCTGCTGCAGTGAAGCAGGATTCCCCACCATGAACAGAATCAAAAATAAATCTGGATCCAGACTCAAAATGAGCTCCTTGATATGTGCTTGAGAACGGCTTAGTCTCCATTCAGACCCAGGTTTAAAGCCTTGCAGGGCAGCATGAAGCCCACTGCCAACATTAAGACAGAAAAAAGAAAAAAATAAACGGTCAGTTCAGGTGTTTTATAAAATATGTGAATCAGGAAATTGTCTATATGCCAAACTGAATGATTGTTGTTCTCCACTTATAAAAACACTTTAGATTTTAAATGAAAAAATGTTCTATTTTTGTTATATTTTTATTTATTTATTTAAAAAGTAAATGTATAACATGGATGCATAAACACCTCATTTTATGCCAGTGTTAAATTACTTTAAAGTAATAGATTATTATTATTAAAAGCATCTCCAGATCTTTACTGGTTGTTGGTTTCTTTATTTAGGCCCCACTGGTTTTTAATTGGTTACCCCTGATATAGACCATCCAGGATCTGTGTGTTTTGGCTGTGAACCCTTTTTATTGGCCAGTTGGTGACCACTTGAGGGTGCTGTTGGATTTAACTCCTGATTAGCCACATCAGAACCTGAATTAGAGGAGCAGTCTTCCATTCACTTGATGCCTGGTTATCACCCTATGCAGTACCTTCAGCCCTCTGTTTCTAGGTCTTTTTCATTCCTTGTTACTCCAAGCTTATTCATCTTTGTTCCTCTGGAGGTTCTTTCTGTGACTCCTTCAAATCCTCCTGAGAAACATACAACTGAGCAGTGATTGATTCTTCCTGGCTTCCAAACCCCCACAAATGGCGGGATCAGCAGCACTTCCTTCCTGCCTCTTCCACCAGTTAAACAAAAGAAAGGACACCTCTTTTCTTCACCTCTCCTTTGAGGAAGAACTCCCTGAATATTTCCTCCTTGCTGCCATCTTCTTCTTCTCCTTTACCTGTTTGTCCACTTCCTTTAACAAGATTTATTTTTTATTCAATCCACCAATAGAAGTGATAACCCCATTTCTTATGGTGTGCCCCAGGGCAGCTTTGGCTACAATGTATTTGCAACCATCGATGAGAGCGTGAATGATTAAATGACAGCGTAAGCATGAAACACTTTGCGGTTCTCCGACTTGATAGCTTGCTTTACAAACAAGAACAGACTATTTACCATTTCAGGCCATCTGGTCTCTGCCAGAGTTTTCCAGAATTCCAAAAGACAACAAAAGTCCCAATGGTTGCTTTTTAGTCACGAAAGCGAAAAATATATATATATATTCCTTTAATATATTTTAGATATGTGTTGTGAATTGACGCTATATACTGTAAATAAACTGAATATAAATAAAACTGTATAAACTATATAAATAAACTGAATTGAATACAGATACCCACTGCGTCACTGTGCAGCACTATACATAGTAATTATAATTATTTTATTATATATTATTTATTAATAATAATAATCAATATACATAAGGAGAATTAATAGGAAATTGGATTTTCCGACCACAACCACCTCTTGAGATCTGGACACATTCAACACCTTTACATTATAACATTAAACTCTCGTTTTTAACAGTTGAAAGAAGAAATATGCATTACTCAGGTTCAAATAACACATGCAGGTTTTTAACTTAAACTTAAGAGTTTTACTCCAGAGGAAAGAAAGTCTTTAAATCAAAAGAAAGCACCAGATCTCACAAAGTGATCAGCTTCAGACTCGGCTTTATTGGAAATGTGATAAGGAACAGAACCAACATGTAGCAGGTTTTATTCATTTTGTTTTCTTTTATTACTCACGATTCATGACATTATAGGCAAGCTACCTCCTTAACAGATGGAAAACAATTGATAGCTTTATTTAAATCTGTTAAGTTTAAACAGTCTACCATGAGCCAAAAAGCATTTTCTTTCTAAATTTGCTCCATGTGATGAGAATGTCACCAAAGATGTCCTGACTGATCCCAGGTACTTAGAGAGAGATTATACTTATAAAGACATTATTATTTCTTTTCTTAAAGAAGAAAAACAGAAAATCCAAAACTGTAAAGTTTTTGTATCTAGTCATTAAATCTTCAGGTTTTCTCTGTTCAGAGACACCCTGATGAAATCACAAAGACTGGAGAGAACCAACAGGGCGTCACTCTGCATCCAGCATTACACTCTTTATAGAGCATTTATGGAAAAATCTGGATTAAAGAGTTAATCTGAACTGCTTTTGGTTTGGAAGTAAAATAAAAAGTGACCTGTCACCCTCTGGACCATTTAGCTTTGAAACAACAAAGGTTTTGACGTTCCAACAATTAGCTGAAGGTTTTATAATTCAGATTTAACTTCAACTTTAATTAAAGACGTCTTTGTTCACCTAAGAATTCGGTTTCTAAAGCTTACAGTAAAAAAAAAAAAAAAATCACTTTTGGCCATAGACATAATTTAAATGAGCCATACCTTTTTTGTACTTATCTGATTCTGTGTTTATGCTCGTGTTTTTGGTTTTACTGTTATGTTGCAATGATGCATTTATGCCCAAAATCTTTCATACCTTTGGCAGATGCATGTTTGAAGAACTTCTTTCTGTCAATTTTATTTTTTAATTGGAACTGAAATGAACATTTTGGAGCAGCCTATCAGGAAGCCTAACATTAAATAGACAGAAAGTCTGAGCAAGCGAGATTACCGGTAGGATAAACCACAGAAGCACTTCAACATCACTTGTCTACAAACTACAATTTAATTGTACCAGTGGACAGCTGCATAAAGCTGCTCAGCAATTACAAGAAAGATTTGATTATTTTTACATCAGAGAATTTTTGTCATTATCATCAAGGGGTTTATGAATAACTTTTAACTCGCTATTTAAAAAACAAATGTCAGACATTCTGATTCTATGGGAACCAAAGGTGTTGGCTTTATGAATAACAATATATAATCTTAATATAGAAGTTTGTAGCTGGACCAAAAATGCTAAGACGGAGGCAGAGATGTTGTCTCATAGATTTAATGATGAAAGCAACAGTAGTATGTAGAGAGTACATGACTGAGAGGAACATGAAAAAATGAAGATCCATCAAAGACAAACTGCAGAGGAGGGGTAAATATACACTGAGGAGGACAAAGATTGGAGTAATGATCTAAGTGGGAACAGGTGTGGGGAGAAAAAACTAAAAGATACCCAATGGGAAGGAAGGTGACACTAGGGGTCACTGTAGAGTAACTGCGAAACATAACCTAAAGATAACTGTAAATCAGGCATCCCCAAGGTTGGTCCTGGAGGGCTGCTGTCCTGCAGGTTTTAGAGGTTTCCCTGCTTTAGCACAGCTGATTTTCACTGAAAGCTGATCAACAGGCTTTTGTTCAGCAACAATCATCAAAATCAGCTGTGCTAAAGCAGGGACACCTCTAAAACCTGCAGGACAGCAGCCCTCGAGGACTGACATTGGTGTGGCCTGCTGTTAATTATTCCTAGAGCAAAGACTAAGGAATGCTGAATAGAAGATAACTGTAAAACCACCAAACATGAATAAGTAGTTCAAAAATGATATAATTCTTAACAGTAAAAACTGAATAACATAAACCCAAGCCTAACTGAAAACCCAGAGTGAAACCTAAACAGAACCAAAAATCCCAGAATGACAGATCATAACACGTTTTGGCAGTTATATAAAGTGTTAGACCTATTTTCAAATTATCTTATGTTTTAATGTTCCTTTCAGAAGTGAAGTTTTCATTAAAAGGCATTAAACATGGAATCAGAATCTGCCAGGATTATGATTTACTTTGGGCTTAACTGCAAGTCATGACAGAAAAGTGACTCAATAGAGGCCCACAGCCAAGATTAGAGTTTCCTTTTCCCTTTCCAGCACTATTGGACAGGAGTTAGCATGCAGTAACCTTCAGCTGGATAAATGTAGAAACCTGGATAGACATGGTCATTGAATGAGGTCTTAAAGGTGTACAGGTGTTCTAATGTGTTACATGACACTTTGTAGAAAGACAGAGTGCCTCCACCAAAATTCAGATAAACTCCAATTTTCTTTACTCCTCCAGAGGGAGTGGGGTTGGGCCATTCTTGGCCATTGTGCTTTGCCACAAGCCCCTGATATTGGCCAAAATACCAAGATTTCTCATTATCCCCAAGAAGCACACCTTGCCTTTCAATTGACTTGATCGCAACACCTACACCAATGTATGACCCCTCACTCCACTCTACCTCCCAGTAATAGTGCTGCCGCTCCCCACACAACCCTTCGTTACACAGCACTTGAGGCTTATCAAACCTCTCTGGGTGACTGTCATAGTACTTCCATGTTGATGTACATGTTGCTTTTTTGTTCTCGTCTGAAAGAACGAGATAACCATTTGCTGTGTTTGGGTTCAGCGTCAGATCACAGGCATCTGGTGGAAAGACAAACGGACAGTCTGTTAGATAAACACTGGAAGACAATATATGTAATATTTTGTTGAATATCACCAAAAGATTATCTTGGATTAGATTTAATTACAAATAACAACAATAAAAGAATGTCTAGAGCAGGTGTGTCAGACTTCAGGTTTCAGGACCCGGTGTCTTGCAATGGTTGGATGTGTGCATGTTGCACACCTGAATCAAATGGCTAGAAATTCTCCTCTGCAGGAAAGTGCTTCAGAGTCCTCCTCTTGCTCATAAAAAAAAGATGCATTTCCAAACGTTGCAGGACACAAGACCTTAAAAACTTTGGATTGACACATGTGGCCTAGAGCAGGGTCCTCAGGGCCCTGTGTCCTACATGTTTTAGTTGTTTCCCTGCCTCCACACACCTGACTTGAATGAAAAGGTGATTGGCAGGTTTTTGTAGAATATGATAGCTTCTGAGGAGGTAATGCAATAATTTAAATCAGGTGTGGTTAAATAATGACAAAACTAAAACATGGACAATGGGCCCTGAGGCCCAGGGTTAAGAACCCCTGACCTAAAGCGTCTTTTCCTTGTTTGTTTGTCATAAATAAAATTAAATGCCATATATAACTTACACCAAATCAGATCTTCTTTGCTTGTTATATTCTTCGCTGGAGGGACACCTGGCTTTGAAAAATCCTCTGAGACCAGACATCCTTCCTTGTAATAGTAGATGCTTGCTCCCTGGTATTTTGGATTGTTTGCTGCAGCTACTAGGAAAAGGAATTTGCTGTTGGCTTTCAGGCCTTTGGCCATGTTTTGGAGATCTTCCGCTTTTCTGCGGAGTTGTTGTATTATTGCATTTGAATGGTACCACTGGTCTTGTTTAGGCTTATAGACATTCTTAAAGCTTTGTGAGTGAAGGGAACTCTCCATCTGATCAATGTATGGGTCCTCATCCTCCAGAGAGGTGAAAGTGAAGCACAGAGCATGAACCACACCTTGAGCAAACGTTTCTGTTTTCAGTTGGGACTCATTGGGGACAATTTTAATGCCCTCCATTGATTTGAGGCAGATATTCATAGCAGTTACTTCTGCTTCCTTGTCAGAGATCCATCTTTCTAAATTGTCTAATGGGGTCTTTTTTAGGTCAAGCTCCTTTTCAACTGAGCTATTACAAACTTTTCCTGCACGGATCAAAGGAAAATTCTCCTTCAGAAAATCTCTCAGGTTTTTTTCAAACATTTTGCAAAGGTCTGAAAATTTCTGGAAAATGTTGTAATAACTGGAGAAGTTCTTCAGTGCCGTCATGTCCAAAATGTCATTGCATCTCATTTCAATTTGACTCAGATCCTCAAAGATGTTTTGTGCTTTAGTGATTAGCCCCTCACAGATTTCCCCTGTCACTGCAGCAGCAGTGGGGTCATAGGACTTCAGTGGCGTCAGAAAGACTTGAACTGGCACAGAATTTTTGGTATCTTCTAGAAGTTTCTTTGAAAGACTCTGGTAGGTCTTTAGTGCCTCTTCAAAAGTTGTGGGGTTGTTTTCAAAGAGAAAGTCTCCATAAAATTTGCAAGAGATGCTGTTTAGAAAGCTTTCTTCCTCTTTAAGTGACGATGAGGTGTTACCATCAGCTATCAAAGTCTTATCTACAGGTGCTGGTCATAAAATTAGAATATCATGAAAAAGTAGATTGATTTCAGTAATTCCATTTAAAAAGTGAAACTTGTATATTATATTCATACATTACATACAAACTCATATATTTCAGATGTTTATTTTGTTTAATTTTGATGATTACAAATGACAACAAATGAAAATCTCAAATTCATCATATCAGAAAATTAGAATATTACTGAAGACCAATAAAAACAAAGGATTTATAGAAATGTTGGCCAACTGAAAAGTATGAACATGAAAAGTATGAGCATGTACAGCACTCAGTATTTAGTTGGGCCTCCTTTGGCCTGTATTACTGCAGCAATGCGGCGTGGCATGGAGTCGATCAGTCTGTGGCACTGCTCAGGTGTTATGATAGCCCAGGTTGCTCTAATAGTGGCTTTTAGCTCTTCTGAATTGTTGGGTCTGGTGTATTGCATCTTCTTCTTCACAATACCCCATAGATTTTCTATGGGGTTAAGGTCAGGAGAGTTTGCTGGCCAATTAAGAACAGGGATACCATGGTCCTTCAACCAGGTACTGGTAGCTTTGGCACTGTGTGCAGGTGCCAAGTCCTGTTGGGAAATGAAATCTGCATCTCCAAAAAGTTGGTCAGCTGCAGGAAGCATGAAGTGCTCTAAAACTTCCTGGTATGTGGCTGCGTTGACCCTGGACCTCAGAAAACACAATGGACCAACACCAGCAGATGACATGGCACCCCAAACCATCACTGACTGTGGAAACTTTACACTGGACTTCAAGCAACGTGGATGAAGTGCCTCTCTTCTTTTCCTCCAGACTCTGGGACCTTGATTTCCAAAGGAAATGCAAAATTTACTTTCGTCAGAGAACATGACTTTGGACCACTCACCAGCAGTCCAGTCCTGTTTCTCTTTAGCCCAGGCAAGACGCTTCTGACGCTGTCTGTGGTTCAAGAGTGGCTTGACACAAGGAATGCGACAGCAGAAATCCATGTCTTTCATACGTCTGTGTGTGGTGGTTCTTGAAGCACTCACTCCAGCTGCAGTCCACTCTTTGTGAATCTCCCCCACATTTTTGAATGGGTTTTGTTTCACAATCCTCTCCAGGGTGCGGTTATCTCTCTTGCTTGTACACTTTTTTCGACCACATCTTTTCCTTCCCTTCGCCTCTCTATTAATGTGCTTGGACACTGAGCTCTGTGAACAGCCAGCCTCTTTAGCGATGACCTTTTGTGTCTTGCCCTCCTTGTGCAAGGTGTCGATGGTCGTCTTTTGGACAACTGTCAAGTCAGCAGTCTTCCCCATGATTGTGTAGCCTATAGAACTAGACTGAAAGACCATTTAAAGGCTTTTGCAGGTGGTTTGAGTTAATTAGCTGATTAGAGTGTGGCACCAGGGGCCATCAATTTTGAACCTTTTCACAATATTCTAATTTTCTGATATGATGAATTTGAGATTTTCATTTGTTGTCATTTGTAATCATCAAAATTAAACAAAATAAACATCTGAAATATATGAGTTTGTATGTAATGTATGAATATAATATACAAGTTTCACTTTTTAAATGGAATTACTGAAATCAATCTACTTTTTCATGATATTCTAATTTTATGACCAGCACCTGTATAGCAGCCTTCAAGGTGGCCTGGAAAGGCTTCTCTTCTGCCTTCTCACTGTCAAAGACAAAGAAAGCGTTTGCACCATACTGAATGCCTGTCACCACATGTGTTGCCATGCTCTTCACTTTATCAGTGAGCTCGCCTTCACTCTGCGCTTCACTTGGTGTCATTAACAATTTAGAGAGGTAAGAAATGGCCCTGTAATGGAGGATCACTCTGCTCTGATTTTTGAACTCCTTCTTGTCGTTCAAATACTTGGCAGAGCCACCAACTTCAATCAGACCACTCAAGAAACTTGCTTTAAGGGAAGTTCCAAGATCACAGAGAGAGGATTTTTCTTGAAGAGAATCAGAGGATAAAACCTGAAAAGAACTGCTGTGATTGTGCTCTGACTTTGTTTTCTTCTCCAGAAACTGTTCTTTCCACATTGAAAATCCTGGGGGAGATAAAAAGCAAGATTACTATGTTAAGTAAGAGCTAATTTATAACATTTTTTTTTTTTTATCTTGTAGTCCTAAAAAATAAATAAAATCTGGCAGCCAGTCTCAAAGTTTAACTAAAACTTCAACTAACATAAACATACATATCTATATTTTTTACTTAATCTTCAGTATGTAAATTAAACTTAAGACCAGCAAGAGAAAATTGGAAACTATAATTTATATTTAAAGCGTTAAAAAAAAGTTTGAAAAAATATTTTTTGAATAATTGTGAAAGCATATTTTAAAAAGAAAAAAAGTTTCCTGTCTTTATTGCATCTTTTTTTTGCCTCAAAATTCCAGTACAACAACAATAGAACTCCACAGATCAGTTTAGCTTACAAATAATGTCCTCAAAAGCTGAGTTTTCTAACACAAACCTTCCCCAAAGATGCATTAGCTGAAAAAAATCTAACATGAAACAATAGAGGCCACATCCTTAACTTTCCTTTAAATAAAATAATGGAGGTTCTCTTTTCCTATCAGCAGAAAACATCTTATCTAAAAACATGTCCCAGAAGTCATTTTCTCCATACTGCTTAGTGCAGTGTTTACCCCGCCTAATAGAAAACACATCAAGCATGCCTAAACATGAAGCTTGATCAAGTAATAATCAGCCCTGGATCTGTCACAACACACATGGACATATGTTTGGCTTAAATTGAACCTCAAAGACCAGTTCACCTTCTCTATTTATTTGTCTTTTCATTATGTTTCTCTTTTTTTTGCATTGTGAAGTTTTAAAAACAGCCTGGTTACAATGCAGCATTCCATCAATACTTTCCTCTTGCTAATACTTTATTATCAAAATTTAGTTTAGGATTGTACTTTTTTTCTTTTCTTTTCTTTTGCATCAATAAAGCCCAGATGCAGGATTATTGGTTCCCCTCATGGTGAAAGTTCATTGGAAAGTTTCCATGAATATAGTGAAGAACAGCATGTATTCTCAGCAGATTAACAAAAATACTGTCACACTTTCAGTGATTGTTGCTATTTACATATGAAACTGGAACAAATCCCTGCACTCCATTTGTCTGAGGCCACGTGTCAAATAGATTATTTAAATCCAGTTATTTTCTTTATGCCACAACTTAAAAAAATGATATATTCCCTCTTAAATTGCATGTAAAATATCTGTTGCAACTGACTCTATTTTTTAACTTAACCTTTATTGGGCAGTCATTGAAACACTTTGAAAATCTAATTTTAAAGCCAATAGTGTTATTGGAATCCAGAAGAAGACTTTATCATATTTGTAACATTCAAAAAATTTGGATATTTTGATGGCAAAAAATTATGTCAATGTAGTAACAAGAAACGGCATCTTGCCCAAATATATTAAGAAAAATAACAGAAGACCTTTTATAAGAAATTCATGAAAAACACTCTGAGAGTGAAAGAAACACATTTTTTTTGGTACAACATAACCTTGGAGGCATTAATGCTGAAACTGGCACTTACATTTATTAGTTTCTAAACCTAAATATAATTTTTAACTAGGCTTATTCACTTTTTAACTTTACTTTTTAACTTTTTCAATTAGTTTTTTAACTTTTTTTCTTAACTTTTTTTTAAAACTTAATTTACAGTGGGTAATATATCATACAACGGTATAGATAGGGATCTAGATCTTGCGCTTCTAGGCCTCACTGAGGGACGGGGTGGTCGGGGGCTCTTCATTTGTAAGGGGTATGCAAGCAATCATAAAAAATATTAACTTGCCCTATAAAGGGTTGATCTCTCAGTCTTCAGCTGGATCAAATGTACGACAGTGACTTTTAAATAATTTTTTTTAGTAAAATATGAATTGATTCATCCGACAATCATCAACATCACACAGTAGTTTTACCCGTTATCAGTTCATCCTTGCGAGCGTCGTACAGCATCCCCAAGGAAAAAGGTCTTCCCAGGGCAGGCATCTTTAAACTACTGGAGTCCATGTCTTTCAACTGAAAGAAAAAAATAGATTAACATGCATGTTAGTAAGCTTAGAGCACGCCTGAAGATAATTTTTAATAAAAAATATAATTTTACAGAGAGGGAAAGATGCAGACAAAAAGGCCGTAACATTCAAGCAGTGTAATTCATTTACAGTACAGGTTCTGTATAAAGTATTAATATATTCATCTTACTCTTTCAGTCTGTTGTCACTGAAAAAGGTGTTGAGATGGGTTGAGTCAGCTGGAGGTCTTCTGGGTCTCTTACTGGATCTCCCAGTGTGATGTTGTCAGGTCCCACCAGTATTTATCATGTCAGGTGTATTTTCACTCTCCACCTCTTTTTTTAGTATCCACACCATATATGGAATTATCCCATGTAATTCTGAGGAAGTGCAGATGATAATTTACTCTTTAGTGGGAACTCTTGTGGAAAATGTTAGCATTCTCCTTGTGTGCCCTGAAGTAATCAAGATCATAACAGCAACATCAATCACTGTTTGCAGTAATTATAGTAAACAATAGCAAAGATCCTTAAACTGGTTTCCAGGAGCATCAGCGTGCCATGACCTGATCCAACTGAAAAGGTTATCAGCCTCAACGACTTGCTTAGACACATTAGGAGAAGGGAACCCTGACAGTTGAACCCACAGCCCCCAGGGCTGTGTCTGTTTTTACACATTAAAAAAGACACATATATAAATATAATATATTTGTGTATGTATATTCTGCCAAAGGGATTCATGATATATGTATAACAGGTTTGCTTTTTTATGATTACAAAATAACACTTCATTTTCTATATTTACTTAAGATTTTGATAAAGTTATAAATGTATATATAAAACTGTTTTCGTGCTTTGTTAGCGTGTTTTCACTATAAATATGTTTTTGCTGATTTGTTACTGTGTTTTAATTGCAAAAAACAGTGTGGCGATACTTGAGACTGGAAGAACTCTTGCAGTAAAGTAGTTCCGCATTGCACAAGGTGCAAACATTTAGTCTTGACGAGTTTTCTATTGGGAAGCTTCTTAAAAATACATTTTCCCAGTAAACTCGGCGGCTTTATAACCTCATCCATGTCAGCACGTCACATTCGATGTGATAATTTCACTGTAAGTTCGAAGACTGATTCGTTCTCGCCCCCAGATGTACAGCCGCGCCAGATGTACATCTGAGTTAAAACATTATTGTAAAAGTCATCATAGTTTACTTAGCATAGACCCGGTTGCCAAACCAACTTTCAGAAAAAAAGTTTCTTTATTTTTTATCACCCAGTAAGAGGCTGGCATTGACACAGATAATAGCCCACCACTAATATATATATATCTATATATATATAGATATATATACCCCATGTTAAAGTGACATCGATGCGACAGTGTCATAATTACGAAGAGAAGGAACCAGTATTCGAGGCAAGACAGACAGTGGGATAACTCAAGGTCTTTATTTAAAAACAAGCGGGCTGTGGATCCGGGGTATCAGTGGCTAGGACCTCTTTAACTGAAGCTCTGTAGGGCTTTGGACTTGTCAAACAGTAGCACCACATGGAGAGAGAGGATCTGAACTTTTCTTTGAAATCATGTTACGGCATAAACCAGAGACTGGTTGAAGTTGTGACATGGGTTTAAGAAGTGCAGCCGAAGCAAAGCTTCTCTCAATTAAAACAAAACAGAGAAAATATGTTAACAAAGGTGAAAAAAAGGAAATCTTTGTGGAGGTTATCAGGTAGCTTTAAAAAAGGTATATCAATTTAGCCCTAGAAAGACTGTTCATCATCCTCCCTTACCTCCAGTACAGACACCGGTCTGCCGCTGTCTTCTTCCCAGCATTGGTGCTCTCTGTGCAGTATAGATCTACAAGGAAGTACTGCCGAATCCAACTGTCATCCTGACACAGCTGTGGATTTACCAAAGTGATCTACTTTTTCAACACTTTAGAGGCTTTTACCCCAGAGTCAATTTAAAAGTTGTACATGTACAAGTTTCATCTGTGAATTTATTGTGAAATGCTGGCAGCGAGACCTTTACAGGAAATGCTATGGGGTTGCCAAGGGTAACGGCAGGTCCAAGGGGGTCTGGGAGGCTGGAGATTGATTAAATATTAAACAACCATTCGGTCAAAAAAGGCAGCTGTTATATTCATTACCAGCACAAGAATGATGTTATGCTATAACTTTATGTCAGGAAACTAATGTCTACAGGAATGACAATGTCATTTTTGAAAAACCAAAGCAGCACAAATGACAGATTAAGATTCACAAATCAAGTAGCACTGGAAAAGTAGATTATTTGTGTTTCATTCAGTTTATTAAGGGGTGAGGGGGTGGTTAACCTGTGGATGACATATATATGTGGATGAGATATAGGGGAGACCGGGTATGGTTGTAACACTTTTTGCTCCAGCACCTTTAACTCACAGAATATTTGAGCTGGAGTTTTCAAACTTTTATACAAAATACCCACATTAGTTTACTACAAATGGCACCAATTCAGACCTCTTCAAGAATATCACAGACTTCATGAGTTCATGTCAAATGCATGGTGTGCCTTTGTTACAACCTGCCCCGCTACCGGGGTAGGTTGTAACACCTGCTGGGGTAAGTTGTAACAATAAGACAAAAGAAGCAAAAACTGAGGCCACACCATGTGATATGCTTCAAAAATAGCTTTACTGAATTAAAAGAACAATACAAGAACAATCTCTCTCTCTCTCTCTCTCTCTCTCTCTCTCTCTCTCTCTCTCTCTCTCTCTCTCTGTCTCTCTCTCTCTCTCTCTCTCTCTCTCTCTCTCTCTCTCTCTCTCTCTGACTGACCATAACTCAAATATACTTTTTGTGTGTGTGTATGTGTGTAAATTATTCTACTATAAAAAACTTCCTTAACATGTATAATGTATGCTTAATGAACACTGAACAAACATGTAGGTCTAAAAAAAACAATATCAATGTGTGTGTGTGTGTGTGTGTGTGTGTGTGTGTGTGTGTGTGTGTGTGTGTGTGTGTGTGTTTGTGTGTGTGTGCTTGTGGTTGTGTCTATGTGTGTGTATCCTTAATCAGAGTCACAGTGGTGACAAATGAATGATGGTAGCCCAGGATTGCAGGCTTGGTGGGCCCAGAGACTGCATAGGGTAACACTTTTTAAAGATGTGTTACAACCCATCCAACCCTGTCAGCCATGTTTAGCTAGCTGTAGTAGCATAGCGGTTTGAAATTAGCACGGGGAAATTAATCACATTTTGCCTGAGAAATTACACTTTCATCTAATGTAAGTAATATGGTTTTATCTGCAGCAGTATAAGTACTAAACAAAATATAGTCATGGTCAAAAAATTTACTTTCTTACCTCAAAATCCGTTTTTTCTCCTTAGTATCTGCATGCACCTGTTTCCAACCTTGACAATCACAAAATGGGATTGGGGAGGAAGCGGGTAAACACTGAAATGATCATGTGACTCCTATCTTATCCCTGATTGCTGGAACTGGTGGTGTTACAACTCTCCCCATGTTACAACCATATCCTGTCTCCCCTATATATATATATATATATGTATATATATATATATATACATATATATATATATATATATATATATATATATATATATATATATATATATATATATATATATATATATATATATATATATATATATACATATATATATATATATATTAGTGGAGTAACAATATAGGATAAATAATAACAGATATATATAGCTATATATATGCTACAGTTGTGAAGTACATGGATGTATGGATGTGGTGTTGGAACCGTGGATGTGTGTGTGGGGACATTCCATATGTTTTTGTTGTGTTGGGTTTTTTTGCGGGCAGGTGGGGTGTAAAGTCCGTATAGTTGGTGTCAGGAGGGCTTCAGGAGCGATGTAGGGAAGAAGCTATTCTGATGCCTGGAGGCTTCTGTAACGCATTCCAGAGGGCATTGAGCAGACTGAGTGTGCAGGGTGAGTGGAGTCTATGGTGATTTTCCCTGCCATTTTCAGACACCACTCCCTGTAGATGTCCTTGATGGCAGGGAGCGGTGCGCTGGGCAGTTTTCACCATCCTCTGCAACGCCTTCCGTTCATAGGAAGAGCAGTTCACATAACAAACTGTAATACAGTTAGTGAGGATGCTCTCGATGCTGTAGCAGTAGAAGTTTGTGAGCATCTCTGAGGACAGATGGTTCTGCCTCAGGGTCCTAATGAAAAAGAGGCACTGGAGCACGTTCTTGATGAGTTTGGAGCAGCAGGTTGTCCAGGTCAGGTTGTCCAGATGTTTACTACCAGAACTTAAAGCTGTCCACATGCTCCACCACCGTCCCTTTGATGTGGATTGATGGATGTGGGTCAGCTTTCCTCCTGAAGTCCACGATGAGCTCCTTGGTCTTTCCGGTGTTCAGCTGCAGGTTGTTTGTGTTGCACCACTCAGCCAGACGGTCCATCTCCCCATGTAGGCGGCCTCATCATTGTCTCTAATGAGGATGATCACCGTGGTGTCATCTGCAAACTTGATGATGGCGTCAGAGACATGTACAGGTCTGCAGTCATGGGTGACGAGGGAGTAGAGGAACGGACTCGTCACACGGCCTTGTGGCACTCCGGTGGTGTATGAGATGTGGTTCTCCAGTTGAATATGTTGGGGGCCGACAGGTCAGGAAGTCAAGCAACCAGTTGCAGATGAGTGGACTGATGCTGATATACTCTTTAGTTTTAACTCTTATCATGTTAAATTTCGTTTTTATTATGTCTGTGTGCCCTGAAGTAATCACACCCACTGTTCTCAGGAATTAGGCCATTGAATGTTTGTTGTTGTTGAACAAGTTTGCTTTAATAAACTACTTGAGTGAACACACCCTTATTTATAATTTCCCTGTTTAAAGAGGATTGTTTTTCCACAACAATCTTGCCGTTGATTATCAGGAACCCTGAAACTGGTTTCTAGGAGCATCAACATGCCAGGGTATGATCAGTCAGAAATAGCTATATCTCTCATGAAACATA